TCGAGAGATTGCGCCGTGAGGAAAGTGTAGGCATTGACGGCGACGACGGCGGAGATTTAGCGAACCGGCGATTTGGGAGACTTGAAGGTGCGACGATTGCGCGCGAAAGGATTGGATGGGTCTCGATCGATCGGCGCTGATCGCTAGCGATCGCTCAATCTCTTCAGTCGCAAAGTGTGAACGCGGCCTAAAAAACTCATCTTACCGGTGGATGCTTGAGAGCGTCGTCGTAGGAGGGTGGCGCTTCGATGACAGATATTTGACTTTCCGGAACGACATAAAACCGCCGTTCTCCCACTGTCTGTATTGAGGGCCCTGTCGGATCGGAATATGGGGTGGCTGAAAGTACTGATTGTACAGTGCTTGTTTTGCCTACAGCTCTCGCGATGGAATAGCCCACGTACGTGCAGACAGATCGGTGCCATTCAGCTGGGCGGCTAGTCGTCGACGATAGAATCGACCCATGACGGCTGTTGTCGAGATAATCAGTAGAATCAGACCACACACACCAATTACCAGCGCTATTAATCCCGACACATCGGTATCACTAAATAACAATGCGGATGAAAGTTCATAGAGCCAGTTCAGAATTCTGTCCCCCAATTAGACTAGGCCTTATTCTGTCTCAGAGGGAGAAAATTTTGGAAACATACGGCTGTTTGAAGTCAGAAATCGGACGTTGGCAATGTTCGTCACTGCCATCACCACAATGGTTGGTTCCGTCGCAGCGTAGAGTTGCCTGAATCAGGAGTTTTTGCAGGGGAATCTCTATATTCCACTGTACCCAGCTGTAGCTGTGTACTTTCAGTGGGAACGAACCTTTATGCAGCGTGCGTTGTCACAGTGAAATTCGCCAACGCCTGGGCAAAGAGCAGTGGCCCATCGATAGAACTGAGTGTAGACGATCTCCAAACCACTGCTGAAATGAATAGCTGGTAGAGAAGAGTGAAGAAAGCAACAGAGACCAACATGCTCTTCAGAAGGAACCGTGGCAAGACATAACGATGAAAGAAACTTTTCTCCAATGCGATTTGCCCTTACTTGCAGCTAAAGTTCTTCCTTTAGTTGAGAAATCTCCAGCGTGCTCTGGAGGAAGCTCTGAAGGGCGGAGGGAGCGTTTCCTCACTGTTCTTCCCTCAGAGAAGGCAATTACATTCATTGCTGGCAACTGGGCCCAGGGCACGTTCAGCGTCTTGCCGCTAGGGGAAATCCTCGGAAAATACAACCTCTCTCGAAAGTCGTTACTTCTGTTAAGGATTCCTCGTATCTCCATTCCTAAAACCATCTTTATATGAAAATAATATTCTGTAGACTTCTGAAACGCGCACCAACTGAGAGGGGGCAGCCAGAGGGAGGATACGACAGCAATACGCCTCTTCTAATGACTTTGCCCAACGTCTTGGGATTAGCGCACGTTGAGCAGGGAAAACCAAATGCACCGAGTCGAAAATTTTCTCCTTAATTAATTCAGAATAGTTTTCTTCAGCCTCCCGAGATTTGTACAGATAGCTTTATTGGACTAACGTTTCGCCGAACATCGCCTTCTTTGGAGCTTTCTAACGGGTAGAACTTCTACCGGGGTGTTACGCGAATTTTTCTCGGTCGAGTGCCAGTCCCTTAACTAACCCTCAATCTGCCTTTTTTGTTTGCTACGCACGTCCGTTGAAGACTTTTTGAAATGTAACTTTGCACTTCATTCTTGAGTGGAACATCGCTCCCGAAACTCAGCTTTCCCGGCGAGGGCACGCCATTGGCTGTGTGATTCATTTCCTGAAAAATACGACCCCCCCTAATTCCATCTTCAAGTACGACCCCCCCCCCACGTTACCTCTTCCCTAGATTTTTCCAACCTCCTACCACTTTGTCTATTTTTTCCCAAAAAGTTTCTGGTTTTTTTTACAAAATTTTTGCTGTCGGGAGCGGGGGGGGGGGGGGGGAGGTCGCAGTACCTACGTACGTCCCAAGCACGTCCAGCACTCTGGCGCTGGTGTAGCATACTGACAATACGTACGAGGAAGGGGCGATGATAGGAGCTACGATCACCGCCCACAAGGGCCCCATGAATTATAAACAAACAAGAGGACTCACGACGTGACGATTAATAAACAGATGAAAGTACATTCCCGGACTTTTCTGATCGTAGGAGCACATTTGCTTGCAATTGGGAAGCCCTATCTAAAAGTGTAACACCTCCCTTCCGAACAATCTGCGTGGAAGCCCATAGCATGGCGCATTTGCATAGTGTGGGCCCAAAATTGGGGCGCACAATTGGCCGGCCTGTATTACCTGATATGCTTGACGAAAACATGTGTTTCAGAAGCATATCAAAGTCTTCGAGCCAACTGGAGGTTTCCTGGCCTCGGAGGGGTTGATTTTTCGCATGTCCAGATGGGTGATGATTACAAAATGATCACAACGGGGAATTTTTTTCGAATAGTAGGTCTAGGAAGGAAATTAAAGCCTTGCTGGAATGTAGAAATCTTCAAGTTTCCGGCCACGAGATTTTTTTTACGAAAGGTCGCGGTGTATGAAGCTTGCCATGGACGTCCAAAGCGTAGCGACTCGCGGTTCGCAAAAATGATCACAGACGGATCACAAAGATGATCACAACGGGGAAAATCTCTGGAACCGGAATGTATATTTGAAATTCACGGTGACAGAGCCCAACCCAAGCTCTACTCATTCCCACTTACCCCTCTCCGATAGCTTCACTTTCAACGAAGTTATGGGTGTTCAAATGAGGGGTACTTTTCACGTGTTTGGCTTGAAATTGGCTCCAAACCGTAAAATAGCGCGCACCAATGCGCTTGTATGAGCGCGCTGACCGCGAACAGCCAAAATTCAAAAGTAATCCATAGTTCCGGTTCCCAGCTGAGCGGTGAGTTTTTTCTTATCCTTTTATTGTGAATTACTTTGTTTGTTTTTGTTGAGTTTGATTTTGTTTTGTGAGTATTGTTTTAGTTTTTCAGGAAGATTGACTTCAGCTCAATTTCTACGGTTTCATAGGTAGCTTTTGCAATGGATTTTTCTAGATTTTGCGGATTAGTGGATTGGGATTTACCTAGACCAGATGGGGAGGGTTGGTGGGCGAAGTGTCTTGAAGTTTTTTTGTGAGGAAGGAGGAAAAAGTTTCAGCAATATTTTTTTTTTTAGTTTTTGGCTTAGCCTCCAGGAATAGTTCGATAGTGCCTAGTTCTATTTATTGTATCTACTCTCTCCTTTGAGCTTCTTTTTACTTGTACCGTGTATCACCGCTCTCTCCACTTCAACATGGGCCATGCGTTTACGACCCCCCCCTCCATCGCGGGCAAATACGACCCCCCTGTTGTGATGATCACAGAAGATGGCGCTGCCCTGTTCCCTGGAAAGCCCTTTCCTGTCTCGCTTACAACATGCATTTATCATACGTGGTTTCGCTTCCACGGAAGGCCGCAGTCCCCTATTTCTCTGCGCTCTAGCCTTTGGAGCCAAAAGTTCTGGTTTTCATTACCTAAGTGCAGCGAAATAGGAAATGGAGATCTCCGAGGAAAAATTGATTCATCGCTCATCTAGAAGCTCTCAGAAAACCCAATAGAGAAAAGCACACACCTTCATGCAGATACCTCGCGCAGTCGTATGTAGAACGCAGGTGTTTGAACGAGGTTGTTGCGACAGCGAAACGTGCCTAGAGAAAATTGTACGTTCCCTTCGTTCCTATGATTGTAGGGGAACATGCTGATCAATCCAGTCACGGCCACCTGGGCTGCTTATGCTGAACCTGATCGGCAAATGTGTTCGTGAATCAACACATAAAGCAGCAAGCGATCCGACGTCGACGAAGCTCCTTCCCGTATTTCCAGTCGTAATCCGACCCCTTTCATATGAAATTCCTCGATCTGAAATGAAGTAATTCAGCGACATGTCGATTGTAAAAGGTTGAATAGATGATAAATTGAGTTTTGCTTCTTTCTCAGCCGTTCACAAAGGTTCCACTTATCAAATTCGCTAGCACACGAGAAAGGGATAAAAAGCGTACAGAGATTAATTACCTCTTTTGAGTACCTTATGCCTCAAAGAACTTTAAAGGACAGGTATGATTGCTGATAGAAAGAAACCTTGCTTACAGCAAGAAGTGGGAGGCGATATCGGTGAACCGTACAGTCAGAAAGCTTCAGGAAGAAGCGTATGGGGAATTTCTCATTATGGGACCCTTTCGTCTTGTAGCTCTTTGTGCGATGTTTTGCAGAAGCTTGGACGAGTTTCCGAGCTGCTGCTTTCATGCCGGCAAATCGATAACACCGCTGAATTCGCGCCTTCAAAACTCTAACTAGCTGTCTGGGAAATTTTCCTTCCATATCGATTTTGAAGCGTGCCTTTGATGATCTCGCTCAGGTTCTGGCTGGAGAACTTTCCCAGGTTTTCGCGATAATAGTAACATGCATACCTTCAAATATATCCTGTCGAATGTCCGAGCCATGTGTGGAAAGCGTCCGATGATCCAGATACAGTCCACATAGGTATTGATTAGATGTAGATTGCCATCCAGTTTGATTTCTCCACCATAGCCTTCGAGGAATTCATCGCAATCTAGAAATAAGTACGCTTATACGGGCCAGAGCAAGCGTCGCTGGACGAACCTCTGGCATTCGGCCTGTCCGACCACTCTTTCTCGTCCACGAATTCGTAGCGAGCACGGAAGCCAACCTGAAAATCGGTGATTAGGTAGTTTTCGCTTCACCCAGTAACTTCGTAGCTGCTTTGCTTGGAAGATAGGGGAGACGGGCAAGAGAATCGTAAATTGGCGCTCCGCCGCGCGCTGGTACGGGCGCGGCGTTTCCTTGACTCGTGTTAGCTTGTCGACTGGAGCACCGGATTTCACATGGGCTACCTCATTTATATTTTTGGTTCTAATTGCCTGTTGTCACCATCTGACCTGGACCATCGCGTCGCACGTCGCACGCGAAGCCGCGCTCGCAAGTCGCAAATCAACGCTGCGAATTACGATTCTTTTGTCATGTACCCGAAAGATAGATTATCATGAGGTGCAATCCTAAAAATGGTATACGAAGCTTGATTTTGGCCATTCGCCAATAGATTTCGTAGTTTCTCCAAGTTTGGTCTCCACTGTTAACATCAAACTAATAATAATAGGACTTATAGAAGTGGACGGCGCAATTCGGCGACGGGGGGGGGCATTTTGCACTTTCGTTGCTTCACTAGTTCCGGTTTACAAGTCTCACTCTGGTGAAACCTGTGAACTCTTGTGAAGCTGGAGCAAGCTCGTCAAGCAATCTCGAGAAGAGGGTCCCGAGACATGGCCACGAGTCGATAAGAAGTTCAAAAGTGCAAAATGTACTCCCCCGCAGCGCTGCAATTGCCCCGAAGTGATGTCCGTGGAAGGTGGCATGCACAATATCTTTAGCGCATAACAACAAGTTACGGCTGTTGCTTGCGATTGGAACGCGTTACCCGACTGCATGGATTCTTCGCTGCACGACGGGCAGGACTACGGATTCACCTACGCGCATCTTCTACTGAGAGAACTATAATATTGATGTTGGGGAAGAGGACAAGACACACTTTCAGGTCTTCCCTCAGTCAGGAACTTTTGAGCAGCGTACAACGAGCTCCCGCGTCGTCTCATACGAATCGCACGTCGCTATCTTCCATGTATGAGGCGGAAAGGGGGTGGGGAAGGTCCCGGTGCCAGCGGTGTGTTTACGTGCCGACTCTCTTCTATAGTTGATACGTTCGGGTAACCCCGGAATCACGAAATAGTCACCGTTTGCGTGAAATCGTGAGCTTTGAAGTACAGAGTCAGGCGATTTCCACTTGACAGAATAGCCGGTGGACGACGGTTCTCTCGTTTTGTGTTGATCAATTCACGACCGTCGCTGTCGACAATCTGAATGTACAGTAATAAGAAGAGTTAGTAATATTCCAAAATAATGTGCAAGATGGATTATGATGATTTTCGAAATACATTTTCAATCCTTCCTCTCGGTAATTCCGAAACCCTATTGGGTAATATTGAAAACACATAGTTTCCACTGACCTCCGCGACTTTGACCTTTCATGGCCCTGAGGAGAGGGGTGCAACTAGAGGAGCCGTTCTAGCAAACACCTCCAATTTTGGGAGAACTGGGCCTAGGAAAACTGAGAGGCATTTAAAGGCATATTCCGCGCTTATTGTGTGGGCGATTAGCTTGAGTCGTTGCGTTTACCTCATTGACGCGCTGCTCTTCCTTGTTCACTTGAAGAGTGTCTATCTATGAGAATGGCGTAATTGTTTAGCAAATAGCCCCCATACAATCTGCTTGAGATTTATCTTCAAGGCGCTTCTTGCGCAGAACTAGTTTTGCCATGATGGAGGTTTGTCGTGGAATCGTAGGGAACCTCTATAAGCCATCCTTCTCTGGAGATGTTCAAGAAGACCACGCAAATCCAAACAGACCCAGTGGTCGCCGGGAAGGAAAG